TAAACTTCTAATCAGCATAATGCATTTAGGCTAAAAACTTCCAAATGGATTTACATTAGGATTGCTGTTAATTATACTGCAGATATAACCCAAGCCCAGTGCATAAATATTTAAACCATATTACCAACTTTATTAATTAGCTTATTTCTCATGCTTTAACACTATGTGCCACTGCCAGTCTCAGATAACATATACAGTACATATTTGTAATCTGATCTATGGGCAGACACCAAGTAGCAGTTAGCTCAGCAGGTGGTAGAAATCTGGGTGAGAATCTCTTCAAATCTTAGCTACTCTTGTCAGACAGTTTGCTAACTAAGAATGTTAAGACAGTTTAGAAAAAATGTTACCCGATTATAAATTGTGTAATCTTTATGGAGAAACGTGCTGTCTGTTCTTAGTTGAAATAGTACTGGTTTCCTCTAGCTCATGTTTTGCTTTTGATTTTGAAGACCTGTTTGATTGGCATTGCTTATGTCTGTGAAAATCACGAATACTTAAATCAGGTGTACTCCTTGTCTTTTCAAGCTAAAAGCTTCAGTTCTTTCAGTCCATCAGTTTAGGAAAGGGGTCCTTAACTTTTCTGAGAGTGCAACCCTTTTTTGGGGATAAAAATATTTCGCGACCCCCCCCCAAACACACACCGATTTAAAAATCGTCACGTTGTATAAATTATAAGTCTACTCACTTAATAATAAAGTTAAAAAACTTTAAGCAACTTTAAATAACCAACAATAACAAATTAAACGATCCATGAACAAACAATACAAATAGCACTGAAATTATATAAGAAAAATCAAATAAAAGCGAGAGTAAAAAAATACGTTTTGAGCTGCCATTTAAAAATATCCACAGAGCCAGCCTCTCTAATATTTTTAGGAATACTATTCCACAGTTTGGGTGCGTAGTAGCAACAGGCTGCCTCTCCAGTCATCGTGTGCTTAATTTTTTGAATAATCTTGCGTTTGTTCCACCGGCCTTGATGGAGTTTACAGTACGAACAGCTTCATCCATTACTTGTTTGTTTGAGTTCAGGGGGCATTTTTTTAGCCACAAGGACATGCCTATGAATCATACAATGCGTCCACAACGGAGCAACGGCCTGTACTTTCGTGACCAGCCCACTGTGTTTCCCAGTCATAGCTCGAGCACCGTCACAGCAGATTCGCACACACTTGTTCCACTCAATTTCATGCTCACGTCCATATGTGTCCAGCAAAACGAAAACCTGATCGCCTGTGGCACGCTCGGAAAGAGGACGACAGAACAAAAAAATCCTCGTTAATTTCTCTCTCTTCAACAAATCTGGTGTAAACAAGCATTTGTGCATATCCGGAGACATCTGTGGTCTCGTCATAGTTGTAAAGAAAAATACACACTGGATTGTATGTTAGCGATCACCTGCTATTTCACGTCTCTTGCCATACCCCCAATGCGGTTAGACAAGGTATCATTTGACACTGGTATCAATGCTAGCTGCTCTACAGTGCTTTTCCCACACATGATTGAAAGCATTTCCTTAGCGCACGCTAAGAAAAAAGTCTCACCTAACCTATGTGGCTTCCCAGTTTTGGCAATCCGGTTAGCTATGACCAAAGACGCCTAAAGTGCCTTCCGGTTCACAGTGGTGGCTTTTTGGAGGGTAGATTGTTGGCCTCTTAGTTCCTGTAGCTTTCGTTCAAAACATTCAACAGGTTTAGACTGCAAGGTCGAGTGTCTGGTCATCAAGTGGCATAGCAGTTTGGCGAGCTTGAGGCTTTCCTTAGCCAACACTTCGCCACAAACCACACATGGCGGTCGTGCATCCTCTCCATTACTTGTCTGTGGAAATCCGTACTTTAGGTATTTTTCGTCGCATTTTCTCATTTTCTTAGTTTTTTTTCTGTTTGGAGTTTTCTGCTGTGCGTTTCTCCACATTGTTTTTGGCTCTCACACTTCCAGTGCCACCTATTGAAAAAAACTCCATTCCTAGGCAAACACGACTGCCTTGCGCAAAAGAAAAAAGTGATACAAATATAAATACAATCATGGCCCACCCAGCAGAAATTAATGTAGCGCCCTCGCCGGCGCACCGCAGAGCAGGCTGGGAGTTGTAGCCGGGGGATGGTCTGTAGGCTCGCAGAATGACCACTAAGTCACTCTGCTAATGTAAATAGTCTTAAACGTGCAGGTGTATATAATATTAATTGTTTACCTCTGTTATTGTCTTTTGACGTGTAACTGCCCTGACCCAGCGTACATGTCCCGTTTACCCCAATAGTGTGCGTGTTAACCTGCGGTTGATTCGGTCTGTGTTGCCTATTGCGTGACCCCCCTAGGAGTACGTCGCGACCTCCAAGTTAAGAACCCCAAGTTTAGGATATTCTTTTAATCCTGGGAATGTATTTGGTATTTTTTAGTCTGATTCCAGGGCAATATATTTTCTGTAATGTAGTCACTAAATTGTACATAATATTAACATGTAATATTTCAACATTAAAGTATAACAATATTTTACATGATTTGAATGTAGAATTCTTTATTTTCAATTCTCCTGTTAGCTATGTATCGTATTTTAAATATGCTCTTAACTTTTTTTGTTATATACCTGTCTTGAGAGGAAGATAATGGGTCAACACAAGTGTTTTGTTAGCTTCTTCAAGATCAGTGTTTACCATTTTATAAATATATAAAATGTTTATTGCAAATCATTGCTATTGTTACCTGCATGTAACTCTTCACTTGACTTTACCAAATGCCACCTGCCAGATGTTTATCCAGTCTTGCCTTCTGTGTTTATGAAGATACTTTGCTCCCTGTACAACATTTGCAAACCGCCTGTTTTTAGCTATTGTAAATTTGACTACCTTACCAACTGTAACAGAATCTTGATCATTGACATCAATTAGGAAAAGCAGGGATCCAGTACATATCCAGTACCTACTAACAATTGTACTTAAGGAATGAGAGATCTTATGCAGAAGTCGTTGACTCTTCCAAGAGTCACTCAAGACAGGGGAAGTACCCATGGACTGGAGAATTGCTAACAGTATATAGTGCCAATCCATAAAAAACGTAGTTCTTATAATTGTCTCCTTAGCCATACATGTAATAGAAGTAAAACTTCCATGTACTGTATGTGATAGACACTAATAGAATAATTAATAGTAGTAAGACATGGTTTTGTTCCTAAAACAATCCTGGCATTTAAGACCAAGCACTTAATTACCTGGAACTCTTTTTTCTCACTGGAATATGTTATATTTTGTAGGAAAAGAATTAGCTTGTTTCCCAGGGTTTTCAAATGTTCTCAGACGTCCCTACCAGATAGTGATCCCTGTACCTGTTTGGCTGAAGTGGATGTTCTTCTTGCAAAAAGATGTTGACATTTTAATGAGTGTTTCCTGCCTTAATGCACTGTGAGCTGTGAGTTTCCAAACTGAACCATGCAGACCTTTCCAGAAGAGTTCCCCTGGCTTTGGATTTATTTTTTAAACACCAACCCATTAGGTTACTAAGTCACTGCAGATGCTGTGAGAATACCATTAGTGCAGTTTTCCAGCTGATTTTAGGAGACATCACCAAGAACCATTAGAGCTGTTCTCTATGGCTAGTCTGACGCCTCTAGGTTGATTTAATATCACCCCTTGATTCACTGTGACATCATTTTGACACCATTTTGCTGTTCAGGGACAACTAATAACATTGCCCCTATTAATCAAATTTGCACTACAATATCAGCCAACACAATGTTTTCTTCCCCTTTAATTAATTTGAAAAAAGCAAAGGAAACTCTTTCATTAGTTTATTTTTATTTTAGCAAATGCACATTGTCAGAATTTAGAAACTCAACCAAATTTAATTTCTGTTGTTTAAAGTGAACATACTGTACCAGACAGTACTGTAAAAACAGCTTTCAGGCAGTGTAGAACTGTAATTCTTCCTCGGACCACAAGATGTCCTTGTAGCCTATGCACTAAGGCATACCTGGAGGATCTTTCTTTTATGGAAGGTGTTTGATTCTTTTCTTTTAGATTTAGCCTTACAATAAAAAATAATTAGTTAATTTATATCTTTCTGATATCTATAGGAAACCTGTATACAAAAAGGGAAATAACTGATTTCTTCCATAAGAAGTCAAGCTATGATTTACCTATATATACTGTATGGGAAAAATAAACAGACCCATTGCCTTTATGTGTAGAAGATGATAAATACTTCCTGAAAATAACACTGAATTCTTCAACACCAAAGAGGAAAACCAGTCTCATATCTGAAAAGCTGGGTACAATATTGTAATGCTGCTATGTCACTTTAAAAGCTTTTATAATTTTTATAATTAAGAATTTATTATAATAAATAGAGTAAGCAGAAGGGAAAAAACAGCTTATTTTTTTAGTGCCAATGGAATCTGAAGGTTACTGTCAAGGGCATAATATAAACCCCAAAGTACACAAGCTGTTATTGTAAATGCGTACCTCCTGGGTCTTACTGCCTTACTATTTTGTGTTGTTTTTTTGTAGAATGTTTTCCACTGTCACTGCACAATTTTACAGCGCACCTCCAGACACATGGACAATGTTTTCAGCACTTTTTGCTGATGCAACAGACTGGGAAATTCAAAAGCAAGACTTTTTATTCCCCCAAAACATCTAAATATTTGTGAGTGTATTGCATTTGTGAGTGTGAGAAACAAAGAAAGCTACTGTAAAATGGAAGACATTAACAGGCACTTGCTGAAGACAGTGTTTATCCACCATTAGGTATATTATAAATGCATTCACTGAGCAGTAGGACAAACATACTGAAGCAATTTGCACAAGAAGCAAGCAGATATGGAAACTGAACGCCTTGTTTTGGAAGTGCAGTTCAGCAGTTTAGCAATGTGAAGCTGGAGTCTTCACACAAACTCCCAGATTCATGTTAGGCAATCTTTTGACACTGGTTCAGGGCTCACAGCTCATCGAACACGATCTGCACTGCATCAGTAAACAGGGTTCTGAGAGTCTGCAATATCTTACCCCTGGAGGGCTTTCTCTCCAAACCAGTCTCCTTTCCCCAGTGTTCGAAGGTAGACAGGCTGTTCATTGGGTGAATCATCCCGCGTGACATTCACCTGCCAGAGGACAACACATCAGGCTTTACCGACTTCGCTCGTTAGCTTTTTAATATTCATTCCATATTCCCAGAGATATCATAAACTCTGAATGTATCTTGTAGGGATTTATGTACATATTAAAACAATATGGAAGAGATTTTGGAAAGAACAACAGTTAAACAGCATATATTAATGGAAGTCCTGTGAGCCAGCAAAAAGAAGGAACGCAGCTTCATAACCCTTTGTTTTTTTTCCCAGCTGTTTCTTTGCCAACTGTCTTTCCATGTTCAGTCAGAAACTGCATCAGACATGCTCCCAAGTACAGCTGAAATTTGTGTTGTAGGTTTTTTTCTGATTTCTTTTGTGCCTATTTATTTCAATTATGCCCATTTGTGAAAACAAACCTGTTTGTTTGTGCCTGACCAAGAGCAAACAATAGATGCATCTGCTTGCCTACGTACTGGGAGGAAAATGTCTAGAAGTATCATATATTCTTAATCTCTACTAAGATTTCAAATTCATAAGAGTATTCTGTGATATCTAGTCCTGTATTTAAATACTTTCGGTCACAAGCTGCAGAAGATTTGCTGTCTTTTACGTGGTTTCAAACAAGAAACTTAAAGGACATTTCATAAAGTGTAAGGATGTGCCAAGGTGTTAGACAAATACCTTGTTCTTACAGGAGTTAAAAAAATATGGCAGTAGACAGTAGAGAATAATACAAAAATGAAGACTAAATTTAAAAAGCAATATGTGCTCAGGAAGGCATCAAGGAAATGAAAATGCTCATGGGTTATATTTGTAATTGTCAGGGCTCTACTAATATTTTTATTGCTTTCCCAGGTAGTGAGTGAGAGCAGAATAGCTATAATATCATATTTTGGGTTAGGAAAACTACTCATAAGAAAGGTAACAAATGATCTTCTAGTTAGTAGTTAATTGATTTAAAGATTTAATCCAGTTATTTCTTGAAAGAAGCTAGGGTATTCGCTTCTTCAACTTGACTGGGAAGCTTGTCCCCCACTCCCACAACCCTTTGGGTAAAGAAGTGACTCCTGTTCTCAGTTTTAAATGCAGTACCCCGTAGTTTACACTTGTGTCCTCTGGTTATTTTTTCACTGATAATTCTTAAGATATCTGTGGGGTTGACTTTGCTGTCTTTTTCTGAATATCCTTTCTATAACGAGGTGACTATAATTGTACAAACTATTTTAAAATGAGGCCTTAGTAGTTTTATACAGTTTAAGAATGTCGTACCTTGATATCAAATCTACACTTATAGCTATATACTCAAGCATTTTGTTTGCTTTTTTAATTGATTTTCCACATTGTCTAGGAGATATGAATGATGTGTTAACATTAGTTTTTCATAATTAGCTCCTTCTAGATCAGTATTTTGTATTTAAAGTTTATATTTTTACTACCTCTCTGTAATATGCTTCACCTTAAATATCATCTGCCACTGTTTGCCCAGTCTTGTAGTTGATTTTTTTTTTATTTAATTCTGCTGTGGTGTTTGCCATTCTTCCTAATTTGGTATAGTCTACAGTCTTGACTAGTTTACTAACTATAACACAATCTAGACCATTGATATAAAGTTAGAAGAGCAGTGATCCAGAACACTGTGGAACACCACTATTTACATCTCGCCAATTTGAATATGCACCTATTATTTGTATCCTCTGTTTTCTGTTTGATGAGTTCTCAATATAAACGTTTCCCTGAGTGCCTTTTGAGAATTCATTATTTATATGAAAATTTATCAAAAGCCTTCTGAAAATTAAATACATCACATGCCCTTTCTGTAGCCAATTATTGTTGTTGTTTTTGTTGTCTGTTTCCTAGGATATTACTCAAATCTTTGTGTGAAACCTTTGTCCAGACATGTAAAGTGTTTTAGGTGCAACAGTAAGACTCTGACACCTAGAATACCTGAAAATCAGCAGTGAAGAGACTATGAACAACAGAATGCACTTTTTCATTATTTTAAGAGTCCTCTTACTTCAGATATACCAATTTCAAGCCTCAAAGGCCACTCAGGCTACTGGGGCTTGTTAATTTGCCATGAACCAGATAAATGGTATTTGATTAAATCTCTCCTAACCTTTCTTCTTTCTAAGCTGCACAGCTTTATTTCTTTCAAACACTTTTCATACCTCGTTTCTTTAAGCCCTGGGATCAGTGTTTGCTGTTCTTTCCTGGGCTCCTTCTAAATCCTTCCTTTATTTAGGAGACCAAAACTGTAAAAGTGCAGCACAGTACTGTACAAGTGAAGGGTTTCAGAATTAAGTTCTGTAATTCTTAATACTTTATCCATTTTTATTCAACTAAATCAGATCAACTGAACCATAAAGAAAAATGAAATTACATTGGAAAGAGAAAGAGATGACTCCTCCTGTTTAAAAAAAGAAATATTAGCTGAAATATGGTAGCCTCTGCCTTGACAAGAGGTGACGGGACTAGTGCTGTCTCCTGGGCTGCCTCGATCACTGTTAATAATGTCTGTTATATCACTGATAAAAGCCTTACCTTTCCTTTGCTGATGATAAAGAATGTGTCTCCTCTGGCTCCCTGTCTTATTATGTACTCCCCATCCTCGTAGTGTGTCTGTTGAGAGAAAAAAAACTGTTATTCATGGCTGTCTAGCATTTCTAGAAAGCTGGTCGTAAGGGAGCTGAAGGGAATTTTTGTCAAGCATCCCTTTACCCCTGAAAAAGGACAATCCTTCTGATGGACCAGGGCGGTGATGTGGAGTCAAGAATCCCAGACATTTTCCCTTGTGTGTTGAAATCCTAATTCACTGAAAGGGAAAATTAAACAGAACCTTCGATCGGGTTTTAACCCAGGTTCAACACAGCATCTTTTGAGATGTAAGGTATTCAAAAACAAAACATAGAAATTATTTACAGATGCTACCCTATTCATTTGGAAGACTCTCGCCTCCTTGGAATTCAAGACAGAAATGACAGGGTGTATATCAAACAAACAAAATGAGGTGTTCTAATGTGCACATGTCTGCTCATGGAGTGTCCTATCAACAGTGCTGATATCCAATAATAACATACAGTAATGAAAGCTAAATAAGTTTTCAAGACGAAAAGCAATAACATGTCTTAAAAAGAAAGGGAGTAAAGCTAGTGTAATACTGGCTACATACTTTATCTAAATTTGAATTTTGACAAACTTCTTTTCTGTACTCTTCCTGACAATTAGCTCTGATATGTCTTTTAACAAAATGTTTTTTGTGACGTTTTGTTGTCATCAATAAGTTTCCTGACTTTGTCACCTACCTACGTTCTGTAAAATACACAGAACATGACGGTAATATCATAGTAACAGTAATAATACCTCTCAAGAAGTGTAAGAAAAAGGAGCCTCTTTGAATAATAATTCTGATAATTGTATTTTGATTTAAACAGTGCTTTTCACCACAGGATTCCAGAACACTTTATATATAGGAGGGGATTAATTTCTTCCACTACTGAAGAGCAGCACCAACCTACTGTCAGTAAGACACAGCAGCCCCACTACACAGCAGATCAGGTAAAGAAGTAAGAGAAATGACCTCAGCAAGCAAATTAAGAGTGGACTTTAATTAGGGCACACTGTGCAAGCTCAGAGTGGAATTTAACAAGTGCAATGGGGTTAACCTGCTCTTACAAACAGCACGATTTAGAGATGCCAATTATCCTGGTGAGCATTACTTTGGACTGCAGAAAGAAACTGAAGCACCTGAAGAAAAAACACATGGCCATGTAAAAGGAACTCTGCTGTACCATGCCACTACCTACCAAATCTTTCTTTTTCTGATGTTTTCTCAAAAATATTTTAGTATTTGATTTGACTCTCCTTAGATCAGAATTACAAAATTGTGGAGGATGTGCAAAGCCTATTTTGAATAAAAGCAAAAGCATGACAGTGTAAAAAAAGAACATGAACCAAAATATCTGAAATATGCCAAAGCCAAATTTTTTAAACTCAAAATAACTTTAGAGGAAATTTGATTCATGTTAGCTTTTAAGGTATTAACAATAAGAATGCATTCTTTTAGCAACTCTACATCTTTTTTTTTATTTAAGCCAGAATATGGCAATAACAATATTGTAATAAAGGTGGGAGGAAAATCACACAAAACTTTAAAAAATCCTTTATCATTACTTTTATAGTTTAAGATCAAACATAAATATATACTAGTTAATTGAATGCCACTAATGATCTAAAATTATAAAGGGTAATAATTTTTACAGGTGGCGTTCATGATGTTTAAGTAGTACACATTTCTCAGTAGGTACAGTAACTACATTCTCCCAAAATTGAAAGAAAATATAATCCAATACTTGAACATCCTGGTTTCTGGTTTCACTTTCTGTCATACTAACACAGGCAAACTTTGTATCTGTGTAGATCCCCAATGAGCCTGTTCTCTATGAAATCACTTGCACTCTAGCACTTTAATTAAACCATGCTACCTAAAACAGCTGGAACAAATTGTAAGTAATAGAACAGCCAGGTTGCAGAATCTGAGCTTGAGCTTCAGAATAAATTATTCTGATAAGGTTCAGGTCTTCTCGGTCTGATCGCACATAGCAAAGCCATTTCCCGCTGCTTCTTTCTTGGCAGTGCTCCAAAGTGTCTCTTGGCCATCTGCAGACCTGCATGGAATTGTCATCAATCCGCTTGGTCACCTAATTCCTAAATCTCAGGGATGGAGCCTGAAATGTGAGTCAGATCAATGTTTGAAAAGTGCCGATAGTAGCCGGGGGAAGACGGGAAGCAAAAAAAAACTCATCCTGTGTTGATAAGCGAGTTTCTAGATTACTTCCAGATGACTTCATCTCAAAAAGAAATCACAACCATTTTTAGGTTTTTGTTTTAGGTAGGCTTTAATTTATGAAAATGCATCAAATTCCATGTTAATGTAAAAACACCACTTTTATTAAGCTGTTGCACAATGCAAATATTTAAAAGTTGTCAGTAAACATCATGTGTGAAGGAAAACTGATAAGCTTTAAATAGTCCACATCAACACTGGCAGCAAACTGATTTGCTTTTGCCTTGATTGATTTTTGCTATAGGAGCAAGAAACCAAATCTCTATGGAAAGGAGAGACATACAGTAAAGTTCTATTGAAAAAGAGAACAGTTAAACTATGATCCAACATTAAAAAACATGAGAAAAAGATGTGGCTTATGCTTGAAACCTGCCCTTCTCCTACGTCTTGTGTTCTGTTCAGAATTTATTGACTGTCACCATCTGGAGGGTATTTCTTTCTCTTAATGTAAATAATTGATAAGAAAAAGGGTTCGCATCTGTCAGGTAGACAACAGATTGCAGCAGAGAGGGTCACAAGAAACGAGGTTAGCTGAAAACTCCTCCTGTTACCCTCACACACACAATATGGAAAGAAATGAACCCTTGACACATACAGCTTGTCATATCGCTGAGAACACTGTGGGAATGGACGCCCACTTCTTGACTTGAGACCAGATGTCTGGAATTAAAAATAAAGCAAGGATGTTCGGAAAGCTACAGTTATTTTCATTATGATATTTATTATGGCATTTTTTTAACCAGGCACACCAGACTGATTAATGTCCCTTATTTACTTTATTACTTTTTCTATTTTTACCTCTACACTCCTTGCAATTTTTTCCACTATCACAAGCATTCTACAGTATTTTATATACATTACTTTAACCACAGCAACTGCTTGTGCTGGACTCTAGAAGAAGTTAAATCAATTATCCAAATGACAGTGTGGCATACTGTATAAAGTATCATAAAAGTGAACGATTTTTCTAAATATTAATTTTACATGTCATATACAAAATAAGTTTTGATTGCTTGGCATTAGATTGTTGCATTTTGTTTCCATTTTGGTTGTTCAAGCGCTTTCGTCCATAGCCTCTTTTCCCCGTCCTCTTTGGTACAGTACATACATAAAAGCAATTCCATCAGTGCAATTGAACACACCTGGGTACTGCACTATACGATAAAACAGGAAGTGAAAGAAGTTGCAGCACAGAAGCGCTGAGGTTTCAGATCTAATGTTATGCCTGCAATTTTTTTCTAACGAGAAGGAGAGAGAAACTAGAGATGGAAAGATAAGTCTCAAGAGAGGTGGAGATCTGCCAAATGTTTGGGCCAGTGAATTAATGACGTGCTACATTAATCGGGGCATGTTTTAAAAAAAATAATATGCCACTGATTGAAGAGCAGACAATCTCTTGAAGTGAAATGAAAACCTTTTAAATTCATCAGCCCTTCTGCTCCCAGTAGCATTTCTGTTCCTGCTAATTGATCTTCCTTTAAAATTTCAATGGTCCAGACTTAATGAATTTAGTCCTGCTTCCTGTAGGAAAGCAATTATGTTGTTCCCTCAACATGTAATGTAAAATGTCAGCAACGAGCAATACACTGAAAATTCTGCACCACTTTCTTGCCGTGGAAGGAGAATTGTTGCAAAACAAGGAAAAATCCTAAAAGTACGAAATTCCATTTCAGAAGCAGCAATTTTCACTACATTCCTGCTGTGCTCTTTTGCATTCTATATTTCTATATGCACCAAAAAAGCTTATGGAAATTTGGATTCTTTTTCTTTTTCTTTTTTCTGGTAAGAAAGAAAACATCTTTCTGTTGCTTCATGAGAAATCAACAGCAGGGGGCCTTGGTATTCTGCTTCTTACATTATTCATGATTCCTTGCATGTCTTCCAATCTTCCTGAATTCTTTGTCAGGTTCTTCCAGTACTCATATGATTGTAAGTCCATTACAATCATCACAAGTTGCAGTGTTTTCTGCCCTACACATCCAATTCATACACTCTCAGGAGGCCTGTGATGCTGTCTCTCTTGTTTACATCAATTCAACAGATACAAAACAATAAAAATCTTTGTGGCAGTGCATGATTGAACATTTATCCTCTGTCTACAGCAGTGATGAGATGCACTCGCTGCTTAGCAATTGTGCACAGCAGAGCAATGCATGGCACAAAGGTCTTTGAAAAAAATCTGTTTTAAAACACAATGATTTATTCTCAAGATTCAGATAAGAGACTAATTGGCTTTTATAGTAAGTATAGAAAGTTAACTGTTTCTGAAGGTAAGTCAACCTGGTTATTTAACACAAAATGAAAACCAAAATTGACTTAAAGTACACATTTTGAGTTCCTGAAACTTTAAAAAATTATACCTTTCACCAATGCAAGAATGTCAAGAGTACATTTCATTTCAGGTACAAATATTTATATTTGATCTAAATGTGATTGGACCCTTCATTTCACTATATGGAAAATAAAATGAAGAATATCTAAGAAGCTTGTGTTTAGCCTGAACACACATTAGCACTGCCCACTTCCCTGATCCACCAACTGCACTATCAGCAAAAACAATTTCCATGTGTTTTTCTTTCCTGCTGCTGTTCTGAATTGCCCAAGGTTCTTGAAAGATGGTTTAACTTCAATGTTCCTACTCCCTCCAGCCTCTTCAGTCTTTGCAAGCTGTTTTTGAGAGAACTGTATAATTACTCTTCTGGTTTCATTTCTGTTGGAGGATGAATCTGCTCTGCAGTGAAACACTTAATTATCATCATTTCCTAATTATATAGCATTTAATGTACATTTTATTATACCACACTGACAGAACACGTTTTCAGACAGCAGTAGGGGAGGACTTTCAGTTATGCATTTCTCAGTCATGTTTTTTCAATAAAAATATATATTTTTTTTCAATAACAAAGGTCTGAATTTTATCCAAAACTAAAAGAGCATATCTAAAACCACATTGATTCCATCCTGTTTTATTTTGGCAAAATTACCAAGTGTCAAAAATGTTTCAGGATTCGAGATTTATACCTTTCAAGATGTTCAGGTGTTTCAAGATGGTTTTTTTTTTATTTTCCAAGAAAGTTTAGTAAACTTTTTCCCTGCCAGAAAAGTTTAGTAAAACTTCAGAAACATAGTTCACCAGGGTCAAACAGTTAATATATAACATATTTCTTACTTTTTCTGTTTCTAGGTCTACTATAGCGGATGCTTCATTTGATGAATTGGTGCTGCACTTTCTGCAGTGTTGGCCATAAGTTTTTATAGAAACCTTAGGGATTTGCCAAAAGACATTTTACTTAAAATGTTTACAACATTAGAAGTATATAGGACAACCTTGGTTAAGATATTTTAATTAACCACATGCTGTTGCCTAATAGGTTTGACATTAAAAACCAGATTCAAGCATGAATCAAATTTAAACTTTTTATGATTCACCTTATATTACCAGGCATATTTCACATACACTTTCACAACAGCACTCTTAAAATAACTATAAGTCAAGACTTTACAGCTTATTAAAGAGTAACTGGAATATTTTAAAAGTAAAAGCTGCAGCTTTTACATTTCCTACGGTGACCACCAGGATCTCTGGATCAAAAGTCCCTATACACAAAATCTGGACCAAAAACACAAGTCCTTATACAAAATATCTGGACAAAAGCACATAGGTCTCTGGGATTCAATGGACTACAAAGGAAGTTTATCAAATAGTCCCATGAATCTGATACACAAAAACATGAGATCTCAATACAAAATTCAGGCGGCATGAACTGAACATGTATTCCTGCAATCTATTTAAGTATTCTCTTTAAGGATCAGAATCTCTAGTAATGGAAATAGAAGCTGTACTACAACTTTTCTTAAAAGAAGCTAGAACTGGATTAGCACATGACCTTTTACAACAGTCAAATCTGGAGACCATTATTGGACTTCAAGAGCAAGTTATGTTCAGTTATGACCAATGGCCCTGCCAACTCAGCTCTGACTAGTTTACACCTTAGTTGTAAAAACAGAAGATGAAAAGAAAACTCTAGAATAAGATAGTCAACTAGATTGAATTTGTACAGTTAGCTATACAAAGATTTTTGCTTCTGAGTTTATTTTTTATTGTATCCTTTTTATTTTGCAGCAATGAAAAAGAAACGTAAGCACAGTAAAATTTGTTCTGATTCCATAAACAAGACAAAATGAATAATCTTGAAGAAATGAAAAAAATAACAAAACTAATCCTATTTAATAAATCAGTGCTCAGGTTTTTATTATTTTCAAGCAACTAAAGCTACAGTACATGGTGGGTAGCTGTGTCAGCAGGCATAGGAAAAGGAACAAGTAATAGGTTTACTCCATGCTGAAAAAGGAAGAAAGAAAACAACGTTTCTGCCGTGGAATCGTGGAGTCTTCTTCAGGTGTGAAGAATAATACTCCTAAAAGTAGTGAGTAGTGAGTTAAACACAGTGAGACTAATATGATACAATTATTTTCTAACCAGATGACCTGACTATACAATGACATTGTAGACCTAACACACCATTCACCAGAACAGTACTTTTAGGTAGTATTACTCTTCACACCACGGCCGAAACATTGTGTTTTCTTTCTTTCTTTTTCAGCATGGAATAAATCTATAGCTACATGGGTTCATATGTGAACACTCCTTGTCAATTCTATGAACACTGTATAGTGCACTGTAGCTAATAACATTTTAATAAATCAAAATATTTATTATACAATAACATGTTTAAACATTTCATAGCTGCAGTAATTGATGTTTATGGAAAATTCAAGCTCCACTTGGGATAGATGCCACTTCCAATGTAGTTGACGTTGTAAAATTTTACTGGTAGTTTCATGCTAAAATCTCAAAGTGTAACTGCATGTGTTAAGCTAAACATCTTCACTATTGTACTTTTTCTGTAGACTTTGAATAACTGTCTAATTCTCTCGCTCTTTGTCTATGATTTGTTAATGGTGCTAATTACAGCATTAACTGAATTTATTTAACATGCAGTCCTTTCTTGCCAGTGGATAACAGACAATAGGTGCTACTGAAACAATAAAAACCTGAAGCTGAGCCAGGCTACTGGTGAAAGGACTGCAGTTTGACAATACACTCCTGAAGTGTAAAAACAGGCCCCATATTCAAGTGGGGATGACAACTGGAAGCACTGCAGTACAAGCAAGATTAGGAACAAAACCTGCCCTAAATTACCCTATTAATGAAATGGTACCCCTTTAGAAATTCTAGGAGTGTGTGCATGAGGTCCACCATAGCGCCAGAGTATGTAAGGCTCAGGAATCTTGTATGGAGTGTTGCTAGGTTACAAGCATTCCGTATATAACCAAGCAGAAAAGGCATGACAGAAACTGTGTACTTTTCATACATACAGTAGAAAAATCTGGCGGTTCTGGGTTTTGTCAATTAAGTTCACAGTTTCAGGCATTCCCAAGCCACATTGCTTCTAAGGTTGTCAAATTATTTTTTGAATGGAGCAGAATAAATCTGCAATTTCAATGTTGAAATGATTCTGGTCCAGATAATTAATGAAAATAATCTGAGGTCATTCTTTAGTGATTGCGAGAGGTCACACTGTCTATAGGGCACAGCTCCTTTTCTTCGGGTCACAAATTCAGATACATTAACAAAACATTAATTAAATATAAACGTATCATTGTGAAACTAAAGCCTTAAAGGCTAGAATAACATATTTTTGCATAGTTTAGCATATTTAATGTTTCTCTGCTCTCCAGCTGACACTTAAAGATTTTGAGATCCTAAGGCCACCACTTTCGTGTTGGTGTGTTACATTTGCCAACTGATTAATAATTAGGCTTTTAGAGAGAAACTCTGTAATCATACAAACCTAGAGGCTCTTCTCATTGCGCTTTAAAAGTACTAAGTCACATGCTGCTGTTCTAAGGTCAGTAAATGTAAATGCAATTCATTCATAATGCCAGCAAATCCTCACATCAGTTCTATTTAAATGTGATGGGTATTTGGAGTGAGACCATACATATCCAATGGACTTTACATTTTTTTTCCCTATATGCCAGTGCTGTGCTGAACTCTTTTTCAACATTTAGACTGAACAACGGTGGTGGACACAGCTCAATTTAACATTCCACCGAGTTTAAGTGTCCTTAATCAGAGCGAATATTTGTGTGAAAGTGTTTTAAAGACAGAACACCACAGCCCATTTAATTCTAGGAGATGGGGGACAGGGGCCATATAGGTTCAGAGGCTAATGTTAATGTTCACAAAATCAATGAACAATTTTGTTAGCTTGTGTACATTTGCTTACATTATCTTCACTGCTTGCCACCCACACTTACCTGAAGGTCTTCAGTCTATTTAATGTAAATGTATTATGCTTAAACGGCTGACTGATTTTAAATTATATCTTGATGTATTCAAGACATTAAACAAGTCATAGCAATCTGAGAAACAGATTAATACAAATATGCTAATGGAAAAAAGCTACTGACATTTTTAATCACTGTTATTATTGATGAAATTGTACCAGTAGAATAAGCTGAGTACATGAGTAAAACATTTCTAACAGCCTGTGTTTTTCTGTATATTTGCTGTTGTAATAGCCTAAATGTTCACTTCACAATTATCCAGTGTAGTAAAATTCCTTTTCTTTAAAATTATTTCTGCTCACATACAAAAAGCCTCTAAAAACAGTGAACAAACAGGAGAACAAAGGTGATTCACAGATTCACAACTCTCAAAGTTCAAAACTAAGGAACTTGTTTGCAATCTACAAACCCACAGCTGTTAAACCATAACAAAACTGCCAAGGTGAGTAAAATATTAAGGATTATAAATGTTCTTGGACTATCACCAAGGACTTAAAAGGAACAAAGCAAAGCAAAAACCATCCATGGGATTTTTATAGAAAAAGAAACATTCACCTCTTCTAGGACATCAGCTAGTTTGCTCAAGATCTCCTCTGGAAGGCCTTGGAATGTTGGAACACTGTAAGACAGAGCAAGTTGAAGCATTAAGCAAAAGCACTGAAAACAATTTAGAATAACCGAGTATGCACATTATTGTTGAGCATCACATTCAGACTTAAGGCATAACAGGACTAATCAAATAGATTTTCCATGGCTGTACTTCACAGTTCCTTCTAGCTTTTGTTTTTTTCTTTATTAAAATAAAACCTTTTGTTTTCTCTGAGGCTGAGAATTCTAAGCCATTAAATCAAGATAAGCCCCTGTCAATGTGCTG